GGATACGACATTAACCCACCATCTTAAAACATCGGTGGTAGTCAGGTGTGAAGTGGATGAATGAAAAGGACAGAACGTGGGTTATTTTACATACGTTTCCACGTAAATAGATCAATCTGATGCAGGTTTATTTTCCTAACAACATTAATATACAGTTAATTTTCTATGTAAATGTATTTTATTTTCATTTTGTTTTGTTCTCTTCGAGCTATCTTGTAATGTACCATAAACACAGTCATTACACATATGACCTTTTGCCGATTTGTCTGTTTTTTTTAATATTCTTGAAGCAATCACCAAATGACGAAGGCCGGAAACTAACGTCATATACGTAATACGTACCTTTGCATCTTAACCAGGTCAATTATTTAAGAAAACTTTCAAATATCCCATTACGCACTGCAATAACGACGATTTTTATTCATTGTAATATGTTATTGTATTCTAATCATGGTTTGAAAGATGAAATTATAACCCGAACTGTTCATATTTTTATTCCCGAAGTCATACTGGTAAGACATCTATTTTTTTTTTTTTTTTTTAAATTTTGATATATGAACAGTTTATCGGAATTGCTCACGGCTTAAATGATTATAATCAATTACGAACATACATTGTGAAATACATCGATGTCCAAACGTATACAGAAAGACCCAGTCGACACGACTGGACACAGTGGTGTTTACTACAGCAGAAGTTTAATGACCGGTATAATTTTTATTTGCTCGGAGCTGATACAAACATCATGATATAATGTACCATAAAATGATTTCAAGGATTTTACAAATGACGAAGAAAGTGTAATTGTTCAAATGATTATACTGATATTTGAAACCTAAATGTTTGGGAAGAAATGACAAAGATATCATTCTTAAACAAATTAATAGATTGGGAACGTCAGCAAATAAGCATTGTATAAAGGTTAATTTCAAACGGTGTCATTGAAAGACATACTGATAAAATCATAATATAAGTATGGAAATATTAAACTACATCAATTAAAAAAATGGTTACTGACATCTTGGTTACTGTAGATTTCGGGAACGAGTCTTGCTTTGATGATGCAGTTTTTATATACCGTAGCAGCTTGGCTCTTCATACGTAATAGTAAGTAAAGACGAATATCTAAATTTATATGAATTTGTTTTTTCATTGACGAGCAAACGAATATTCCATATATAACATCTATCTAATACCAATAACATTACTTAACCTTTATCAAATTGTTAATCCGAAAAAATAGAAATAGATATTTATATATATGTACAACTTTTGAAGTAATCGTGTTTACGATGACGTTCATAAAGAAATCGACTCCGATTACAAACAACTTTCACTCCTGTACAACAAGTGATACATTAAACAGTTATGTGTTATAGTAAAACATGTCTATACATATAATATGACAATAGAAATAATACACTTCTTTCAAAAATAATTACAAGAAAACTTAATTGGTTTCAGAAATAGATATGGATTGCTCTTCGCTAGGGCACGACTTAAAACACTTTTGATATAATGTACTTGCTTCCGTTACAGCATTTGCTCGTTTCTTGATTTACTGAATATTTTAATTGTTTTAATTTTCATCTTTCTTAATTTTATATTTCTCATAATATGATACCTTTCACATACGTCTTCTGACGATTTCGAGTTTAGTGTTACAATGCTACATTATTTAACTATCGTAAACAATTAGTGCAATTTCCGTTACAAGTAAAGTTTGTGAACAAATGTACATTATATATATTTATAGATATATACTTACAGTAAACAAATAAATCACTCATATATATACCACAATGATTAAGATAATAGAAAACCCTTCAGCTACATCTTTATTGTATATTCGAAATATGCCTGAGTAATGTTTTCCGCAATTCTTATGAAAGGTCACAATTGAATGATTTTATGTTATGTACTTAAACTAATGAAAATTTAATACACATCGAACAACAACAAATGATAACATGATTGTTGTTGCCTTATCATTATGTCGATGTAGATGTCACATTTGGAACAATAGTGTACGTTTTTTTATTCCAAAGGGTGATTTTTGTTGGTTTCATTGTACTAAGATGTACTATATATTTTAAACCAAATATTAGTCAAAATAATCCAAACTGCCAGGCATACTTCTCGTAGCAAAGTCGCGTTTTGCCGGTATAGCAATAATAAAAATCGGTTTGATAGGTTTCCAAGCAAAGCTTAGACTAAAATGACCGCAACTTCCTTAGATACGTTTTTAGACATCTTCAAACATTTGCCAACGGATAGTTTTGTTGTTTGTTTTGCTTTTTGTTTTTTGTTTTTGTTTTTATCTTAGAATTAATTCTTTTTAAGTTGCATTGTCAACTTTAACACCTCTGTCCTATGGGAGCCCAGCCTTAAAGCACACCGCGTTCAATATGAAAAAAAATTCCTTATCTTTGATATGATGACTTGGAACCTTCCCATATTCTACCAAGGTACATTTCGCGATAATTTCTACAGAGCAGATCATATGGGATATGGAGAAACGATCAAGAAATGTGTATATATAAGGTACTTTCTTAAATAGACTAATTTATGCATATAAAACAGCAGGTTTTGGTAAGGGGGACTACACTGTATGTTACAGCTGAGGACAACAACCCAGATTTGTCGTCCGTAGCTGGGCACTATGCATTCGTTAGTTCAGAATTTTTTTTGACTGGGCGCCATTACTTTACACTCGTGGGTCAGTGCGGGATTGTAAACACCACCGCCCATCCCATCCTCCTTTTGTTGGAGATATCCATGCCATGGATTCTATTAAGATGCGGCGTAATTTGATCCCCATCTTTATAGTCCTGTGTATATTTTAAGGATATCTCTGATTGGATAACATTAAGTAGAGTTGATTACTGTAATGTTAATGAACAGGAAATTGTAATTGTCAAATTTACTGTCGTCATTTATTATTTTTAATGAATGGTATTTTCCAATTTCAATCAGACTCTGGTTTTGTGTATTCAGAACAAGTATAACCCAGATTACAAACAGAGCACATCCGTTGTTCGGTGCAGCGCTAAAAGAAACATTGTGTTTTTGGTCTTGGTTTGATAAGCCACTTAGTGATGAAAGAACGAGGATATGCATGTGGATTTAATATGGATATTTGAAGGTATCATCTATCCCCTATATACGTCAGACGTCTGCGTGGTTGTGGTCACTCCTTCGACTGCCATAACCACGTGTACGCCACCTTGCGTCAACCTAAGGAGCGACTAAGATAGAGAGTGATCATGTAAATCAGGACATGTATCATTAATATTGGATATGAATTCCTTTTCAAATTAGATTTTTCTTTTAAAAAGGATTATTTTTGTCGGTAATTAAGAATATGTCGTCTTTTGATAAAATCTATACATTATTATTGTGGATTTAGCTGCAGGAGTTCCCGGGTCGTTCTTTTGAACAAGAGATCAAACAGGAGCAAAGTTAAAAAAAAAAAAAAAAAAATTTGTGTATGTGATGTTTCAAGGTTGTTATTTTTAAATGGCTATATACTATACTATATCAGAGAGAATTTTATCATCAGGATCTGTCTGTCACTTAAGGTAAACGTAATTCCAAATCTATAAAAAATGTTATTGTTCACGCTTCACTACGAGAGTGGTGACTTGAAGCTTGTTTTTATCATTGTTCAATGTGATGGCATTATATAGAGTAGATAACTTCGCCGACGAGACAAATGGGCACCACTAAGCATCTCCGACGGCATGTTGTACTCAAACACCATTTAGGACAAAAAAATTCAGTTTGAGAAAGATAATGAAAAGAGTACTTTTATACATTTTTAGTCCGACGTATTTTGGTTTGTTATCGTTTTACTAAACATATATTGAAGTATACTTCGAATAACAAGAACTAGAGCAACTTTATAAACCAAAGAACATTTGACTAGAATAATTATCATGAAAGAAAATTGACACAACTGAATTTTTTGTACATGCAATCAGTACTTATGAAAACTGTGAATACAACGATGTAACATCATTTTTGCATTACATATGTACATCATTACGTCAATGCAGATTTTGATCATGTAGTGCAATAACCAGTTATTAGGCCAATATCGATATTTCGTGTTCATTGTTATTAGCATAGTTATATCACATAAGCTATTGAGTGTAGATTTTACATGAGAGTGAAGCGTAATTGTTTAAAGTGTCTTTCTACCACAGTAGATTGGTGTTTTTCAACTCAAAAGTCATTGCATAGATAACCATTCCAACTGTTGTATAAACATAAATATCGTATAACATGTGGTATAACATTTTAGCATTTTTTGGTTGGCATACAGGATGAATTTTGTTCGTAAGAACGTTAAACGCAATCACGGCTATTAAAACGCGTAATAAATAGTTCTTGATTACTTGTGTAATAATTTAATATTGATTTGGATAAGTTTCTTTTCGCTTTAGAAGATAACAAACCAATTAAATTCCAATAATAATTTGTAATGAGTCACAATGTCTTCGTGTATTTATGAAATCTTCAGTTATGCACATTAATTAGCGGCAAATCACAAAATTCCTATCATAACGCCCTATTGATGTTAACACAACCCATGTTGGTATAGAGCAAGTTAAAACAGCTATTATACATTGTAAATGATTTCACTACAATTCTGTAAAAATAAAATAATCTTTGAAACTGTATTTAAATATATTCCTTTCTAATAACGAGGTTTACATGAACTTTTTCCATTTGAAATAAAGAATGGCATCTACAACACCAAATCGCATACACATATATACTGATAACCCTTGTGACAAAAATACCATACAGATATTGTAGTGTGATTTGTGCAAAGATTTGCCTAAAATGGATAAAAACAGTGTAATTAAAAGATTACATTCATACGATAACACTTATTTTCAGGTTTTTGGCATGAAAAACAAGAAACGCACGGAGACAGCTCTCCTCAGTTTATCAGTTGGCCAAAGAATGGGAAGACAGAAAAACAAGCAAAAATGAAGCAAAAAGATTTTCCCGCACACCATGTGACCTTTCTTAAGGTTCACAAGGCAGCCAGTACGAGTGTCCAAAACATCTTCTATCGATACGGCTATCGTTACAATCTGACATTTGCTCAGCCCAAACTTGGGTCCGGACTTGGTCCAACCACACTAGTAACACCAGACAAATTCTATCCACCACCACCCGGTCAAACGAGGTTTGATATCATGTCTGTTCATTCTTCCTACAACAGAACGATATTTGAAAAGCTTGTTTGGAATGATTCCATTTATATAGCAATCGTACGACAACCTTTTCAACAATTTGCATCAAGTATAGTTTATTTTAACAAGAAAGAAGTACTTAGCATTCCAGGAACCAATCCTGTGCGAACCCTTCTTTCAGAAAAACTCTACAAATCTCGCTTAATGTTGCCGTCATATCGATACGTTAATGGTCAGTCTCGTGATTTCGGATACCCGGTGAAACTGCTTATGTCTAAATATGATAAAAACAAATTCCAGAACTTTCTACAGCAATTGAATACAGAGCTTGATCTTGTTATGTTGGTTGAGCGTTTTGATGAATCAATGATCTTATTGAGAAGACTTTTAAAATGGGAAATGAAAGATGTCATTAGTGGCAAACTTAATAGCAGAGACGTCCCTTCCCGTTTTCAGTTTGGTGCTACAGAAGAGAATCTTTATAAAGAAATATCTAAATATGACTACGCTCTATACGACTTCTTTAAAAAGAAATTCCAAGCCAAAATAGATCAGCAACCCACAGATTTTCATGACGAACTTATTTATTTTATTCAAACGAAAGAAAAATATAACAAATTCTGTTTGTCGATGAAAAGCCTTCAGTACAAAGTATTCCGTGTTTTATCGTTCGAGGAAAGCCCATAGAATTCATCGTTCAATGTCACAACCAATGATTGTGAACAATTGTATATGCACGAAAAAATGTTTTCAAAATTAATCAAAACTAAAATGGGATTTATTTCCTGAAACAGCGGAGACCATACACGTGTCTGGGAACTGAAGATCTACTAAAATTCCAACATTTATGTCACCATAAGCAAATATTACCAGTGCGGCGATTACCGATATGAAATATGGATTTAAAACCTGAACAGATACATAATTATGAGCAACATTAAAATGAATTGAAATTACTGTTTATCACAGTCCCAACAGTTTATAATTACATATAAACAATTATCCAGTAGATATTGTCTTGGTAACTCTGTACATCTATTTCATTTCATTATTCCGACGTTTTCATACCTTTCTATTTCATTGTCATTCTTGTTTAATTTATTGTAAATATTATAATACGGATACACCGGATCCAGGTTCAAGAAATTGGCTTCTCAACTGGGATCCAACTTGGAAGAGTCCTTCAACGACGCATTGGTGGAGGAACAGTATAACTGCAAGATATGCTCGAAGGAAGCAAAGAAGTACATGAAGTGTGATCGATGCCAGGACCTGCTCTGCATCAGATGTCTGGACTTTGATTCAAAGAAATATGACATCCTATCAAAATCAGATACAATGTGGTTTTGTCCACCATGCAGAATGACAGTCGAAAAGAATATTTTCATGGACAGAAAATAGAAGAGAGGTGTAGGCAAATCACGCAAGAATTTGAAGATAGAATGGCGGAACTTGAAAGAGAGGTAAAAGGGTTAATTGCTAAACTGGAAATGAACTTGAAATTTGAGTAATCTGCACTTAGCAAGGACGAAATAGTTGCTAACATTAAAGAGCGAGCAGAGAGGGAAACAACATAATTCTATTTGGAGTTCAGTGTGTAAGAAATATATGGAAATAATCAGACTTTCTACATCAGTCCCACCACGACGAAAAGAAACGCATGGAAGAAGATACTAAAGTTGTAGGAAATTTATTAGAAGTCTGTGGAGTGTCAAACAAAGATAGGCCTAGAAAAAATTATACGATTTGGAAAGAAACGAATAAGAAACGACTTAACACAATGTGAAAGAGAAGCAGAGAAGGCATTTTACGAAGAAGCGAAGCAGAAAGAAAACAATGAAACGGAGAATTATGTATACCGTGTCCATGGACCGCCTTGGAGTAGCAAAAATTGTCCTCCTTCCCAGAAACAATATATAAAGGGGGTGGGGGGGACTTTTAATGTCATTTCAACCTGAAAATAGTGAAATGGTTTTGCTCTTTAGCATTTAATTAGCTATACATATGTAATAACTGAGAATCTGATCATCATATTATTTTAGATATGGATATAGAGGCATTTGTTTTGCCTGCGTCCATTATTTATTTATTATTGTTATAAAGTGAACGTTAGTAGGGCGGAAAGAACGAGATACACGTGAGAAAGCGGAGCAGTGGATTGGTTTTTTGAGCGTGTTTATGTTGAATTGGGGTACACCAGCTCAAAACACAGTTTGCGGTCAGTCTTATAACATCCCAAAAATCCTTACGTTGAGATATATACCTGAAATCTGTTGTGTTTTGCATTTGCAGCATATTAATGTACATGTATATAAAGTACGTACCGATGAGTACAATTCATACCTGACAATATCATTCACATTTTGTTTAGTTTTGGCTATGTAATTAGTGCTGTATGTTTGTATTTAGAAGAAGTTATTATTATGCAAACGGCTAATATATACCAGCACTGTCGATTAGTAGTAAAGTAATAGTGTTTGTTTATGATAACGGTTAATATATATCAACAATGTCGAATAGTAGTAAAGCACTAGTGTTTGGTTATGATAACGGCTTATATATACAAGCACTGTCGATTTGTAGTAACGGACTAGTGTTTGGTTATGATAACGGTTAATATATACCAGCACTGTCGATTTGTAGTAAAGTAACAGTGTTTGGTTATGAAAACGGCTAATATATACCATCACTGTCGATTAGTAGTAAAAATAATAGTGGTTAGTTATGATATGCAAAATGCTGAGAAAATGAATAATAAATGTGTAATTTAGCTCTATGTATATAGATATGTAATATAAGAAGACACAATAAGTAGATATAGACAAACGCTAACCCATGATGACTTGAGGGCAGTGGTATAATAGATTTACCATAGATGTAGTCCTGTGTGGACAAGATAACTATCATGTATAGATATAGGTCCTTTTTTGGGAAAGACGGCCATTTATACAGTCCTATGTTGGCAGTTTTACTGCTGTATGTGGTCCTGTGTGAACAGCTGTATGATTTATTATCTGGAAAACCATGTAACTCCAGATGTCCTATGTGGGCAAGGAAGTTTATAGAAGACCCTATTGTAAATTATTCTGTGTATGAGCAGATCACCATATTTTTGTATCATTGAGCATTGTGACTGGAGAAGACATAGTCAATGGGAAGAAATGGGAAGAAACCATCCGTGGACATTTCTGTGTATTGGACATTGTGTAAATGACTACTGAGTGACTTAGTGGATATCAGGCTGTTATTTGTAGTGATAGTCAATGTACATAGGGGAATGAAAATTATCAAATGGTAAGAGTGTGTTTGGTTATGGGACTGGTATGATGAGTGATGAGTATCTGGGAGATGTGTTAATATATACAGGTATACATAGTGTAATAAATTCTTGTAGTTATTGTATATTTGGTGTTTGTGTCATTCTTATATCAGCGGTGCAAGTTGTACTCGTCCAGGTTACACTGCTGAATTTTATAAAAAGGTTGGTGGGGAAATGCCATCCTTGGTTATTTATTTCGTGTGTAGACTAGATCTTACAAGTGCATGTTAACTATATTACAGTATTGTAAGATGTGGGAGTGCCCAAATCGGAACAGTATCGAAAATGTAACTCGTTTTATATGCAGGACGCAATACAATACTTTGTAATCAAAAGAATTGTAAACGATTATACAATGTAATTGATTGTAATTGAAGCACATTTCTATCTCTATAATGCTCTATTAATCGATATTGACAATGAAAGACTGTGATGTCGAGTGAGTCCAAAGAAATACAAACTAAACGCCTTTAATGAGTTCCTTTATTACATATACAAAGTTCCTAGTTCCTATAGCCATAGTTCACAATCATCACAAACACAGTGTAGGGGTTCTACATGCGGTAAAAAACTGAAAAATACAGAAATTAACCTTCCTTCAACAAAATTAATCAAACTTCAAACGTTTAAACCGTATTAAAGTTACCTCATGGGACACCTAAGCCTTGCTAAATCTGCAAGTCTGTTTCCTTTGGACTTTCACGTAAACATATTCCATGATGCATTTTTCCACGACGTACAAAGAATGAACTCTGAACCCTGACCTGACTACCAGAGCAGACGGACAATATAAAACTAGCGTTTCACAACAAAGACATATTTACATAAATGATTTCCATTCTCTGAAAAAAGCACCCTTTTTGCTTGAGTTACCTTTCCTGCTTAGATTCTAAGTGAATCCGACTCAGCTATGTAGGCGTGGTAAATACACAAGCAAGTTGAAATCCGCTCTTGATTTTCTTGTTCAGATTGCAGTTTTTCATTATTAACAAAGACAAAGAATCAGGAGATGCCTACTCTTTCACAATATCCTACATGTACACAAGTTTAATATGCAAATATTCATATTCACATACACTTGTTTTGTCTTGCACACAAATGAAAATTTAAAAAAATAGGTATGTGAGTCATATCGTTCTGTTCATGATAACGCTTAACATGCCCGTACGTGCATATTTACATCAAATATATCTAAAAGGTACCACATTTTCAATGTAAACCCGTGCAGTGTCAACAAAGACATGTTAGATATCGGAGTATTTTGAAATATTTGATATCACCAGTTGATTGGACAGGACATTTATTACTGGAATCACATAAAAGCAGAATGCAGATTGAAAATGGAAAGCGTCTTCTTTGCTCAGAATAGACACGACATTGTCATCACAAAAAGAAACAAACTTTGCCAATTCAGATACTCGTAGTCATTTCCAACAGCTTCAAGCATAATGGTTCATTTGACTTTACAACAGAAATACACTGCAGAATGATTAATGCATTCGTCTAATATATTACACTGTTATCGTATGCTAAAATAATTCCAAGGGCCAAAACTGTCTGCATCATCACATACCGGTGTTCAACGAATTGGTCAGGATTACGACAGTGTTCAGTGAAACTGGTGCAAGTTTCTGCTTTGTCCTAACTTAATCAGTATGATTATATAGTATACAATCAAACTGATGTTGATGATGGCGACGACTAGTAGCAACATAGAAAAGAAATAGTGTGAAGGGTAATTTCATTACTGTAAAATAGTTAATTTTCATGAGGGGTTCATTTTCAAGTAAATCGTGGGCACTCTACAAATTCATTTGTTCACAAAATGGTATACAGCTAGCGGAAGTTGAAAATCAATTTTTGCTAATCAGACAAATAATTCAGAAGACATTTAGGATTTCATATTAATTTTAAATGGCATTGTTTAATGTGTCATTAGAGTATTGCCTGTGCTTAGTTCTACTGTACATAATGGCTGCAAAACAAACAGCACATTAAACTAGGTTCAATTTTTTGTTCATATCTAGTAAAGATCGAATCCGTGTTAGAGAAAGATATTATTTTACTTCAGAGAAAAATATTAATCAATTCAGAGCTTATTCAAAATTATTCTGTTGATCATATTAGTATCTACATGCATATTTACATCAAGGTCAGAGCACAGAGTTTACATCAATTGAAATACAATTGTATATGACACCAACGTTGTTACATGTGAGAAACACACTGATTCCCGACTTAAGACAGAATGGTCATTATACATCAATGAGAATGAGTGATACATTAAAGACATCATTATCATTTTTGGCCAATGAGACTATCAGGTACATATGACAAAATTCACGAGAGGCCACTGCAGACCAATGAGAATCACTGTAACACTTGAAGACATATTGGTCACTGCAGACCAATGAGCAACAATGTATCATGGTCACTGCAGATCAATGAGAATCATTGTAAGAATTGAAGACATCTTGATCACTGCACACCAATGAGAATCATTGTAACAATTGGAGTCATTTTGGTCACTGTACACCAATGAGAATCGTTGTAAAAATTGGATTCATTTTGGTCATTGCACATCAATCAAAATCACAGTTACATTTACTAACATTAATAATTGTAAGCTAGTTAGAATGCATATGTTTTTGTCATTTGTCATCTGTTTCAGTCGGGTAAACTCGTATGTAAATCATTTCTTCCTTTCCTTCCTTTTTAGCTGAGTATCTTGCAATAGTGAAAAGAAAATCACTCAATCTGCAAAACGAAGACAACAGCTGAACACAATGTGAAATTTGGTTGACCTATCAAGAATTTCTCCAGGTCTAGTACAATGTACTGTTGATTCCTTGCATTCTTTCAAGAAAATTAAAATTTTCCTTATTTATATCTATATATGGAATTGACTAATTGAGATATTGTACTGATTGACCAACATGTTTCACTTATTGAAATACTAACTTTACAGAAACTTGAGGTGGAGAGGGTGGGGTGGGGTATTTTAATGTGGGAGGAAACCAGAGTACCAAAGTTGAAAGATAATGTGAGGTCTTGCTGTGTGCAGAAACCCCAGTATCCACAAAAAAACCCTCAAAAACAAAAAGACATCTGATGGAAGCTGACCCTATACACTTTCATTTTTTTTTTTTTTTTTTGATCACAGAGGTAATCCACCATTCAGACTTTTTACTGACCCAATGATGTCACAGCATGTTCTTTATCTTACTCCACAGTACACCCACCTGTTGAGATACTGAAGTGGTTCAACATCAATTTCTCCACTTCTTACTAAAGGTGTCACACTGCAAGGTAACAAAGTATCATCAATGATATCCAGTCGGGAGGGCAGGGATTTGTATAATTTGCTAGTTATACTCACACAGTTTAACACTTAAAAGATATATAAATAGTATTAAAATGTAGTGTTTTGCATACAGTTGTTTTATTGTGTAAATAATTAGATAATGCACAAGCAATTACAATAGCGGTGTGAAAAGAAATGATTTTGACAAATGCATTAAATTTATCAATTTTTAAAGCTATTAAAGATAAAAATATTACTGAATTTTTATTATAATAATTTTATTACTTTATTTCATCAAATACCTTTAATATTTGATTATAAATTTGAAAATTTATAAATATATATATATATATATTTCATAGATTCTGTTAAAAATTTGTAAGGAAAAAAATCACTGTCCATAATTTATCCAAAAAAAAATTACGTTGCATTTGTTTCAGAACCAGGAGCTCTCTCTAGCACTTTTATTCCCTTTTCTTTCCGCGACTGGACTCCATGTGCTTCTGGATTTTTTTTATACACCTTTTCTGTTTAACATTTTTATTCAAAGTACTACCTACACATCTATAAAATCTATGTGATTCAATATGTGAAGTAGAACTCAGCCAGTCTTCACCATTTCACCAGTAGTACTTTATTAATTTAATTAATTTAATTATTGAGTCTGTAATTCTAGACAGACACTTACTGTCTCTCTGCTCTGCGACAAATGGATCTGGCTAAATGTAAGGATGATGAAGATTTGCCACCAGACTGTAATACAAAATGTAAAAATCATGAATGGTAGCGATTCTAGTGTTTACTTACCGATTACTGTACATACTGTATATTTTGTGGGGGCTTAAATTTCATGGTTTTCCCAAAAACAAAAACAAAAAAACAACAAAAAAAAAGAAAAGTTCATTGGCATTTGATTTTGAACTTTCATCTAAACCATTTTGTGAACACAAAAATTTGAAGAGTACCCATGGATTACTTGAAAATAAACCCTTCATGAAAATTAACTACTTTACAATAATAAAATTATCCTCCACTCTACTTCTTATACATATTACTACCAATCAGAGCCATCATCAACATCAGTTTTATTACATACTATATAATTATAATGATAAAGTTTAGGTTAAGAAAGATAGAAAATAATGGGAATTATAATCAAACCATCTGAAGGCAATTTCAAAGATAAGTGTGTATAATGGTTAAATTTTGGGACATTATTTGACCAAATTGAACAATTTAGGTACAAATATAAACATATACTTTAAAAGTACTTGATACTTTCTGGTCAATGAGTTTTATCATTATAACCTGGTCCTTTTATCATTGTAACCTGACAAAATTGAGGTAACTTCAATACATCCGTTTAAAATTTCTTTATCGTTTCTATTTTTTGTAATTCATAGGTTTTATGAAATTATTGTAATGAAATGATGTTGATCAGCTGTGGAATACTTATATTTACTGTAATTTTCAATGTAAAGCTGAGCAAGGGAAAATGAGCTTTTATAGACAGGTGATCCACTTTTTCTTTTAAATACAGTTCAACACAGATAAATCAAACTCAGTGGGACCAAACGAAATGTTCGTCTTTTTCTATCATTCAACTTAACTTTGTTATATGAACGGAAACATTATACATGGAAGAATGACCCTATTTTCATTGCTTATTAAGCAGATATGTCTTTTTCATTAATTCATTAATGTGAATTGTAGATTACATTAAAATCAGCCTTATTTTTATATCCAGGTGGCCTTTATGGACAGGTATGTATTATGTTGTACATATTCCCTCTGTACAGGTGGTCTTTATAGACAGGTATTTGTTATATACATGTATTTATTTGTAACATGCAAGTGGCATTTTAGTCAGGTATTACTTAATTCATGAAATATGCAATGTGTTTGGAGATGTGATATACATATGTAAACATCACCAAGTGTATTGACTCAATGTTTTATAAGAAACAATTATCCATATCAAATTTCAATCTTACAGGAATGATGAAGTTTTCCAAGGGAGGTAACTCTGCTGTATACTGGTCTATCAATTTTTCCAAGTCTGTCACATGCTTCCCGTTAAATTTTGTCATCTCTGCAAGTTATAGAAAATTATTCAAGGTTCATGGATGTTGCCTCTAAGTTTCAGTTAAGCAGAAACATGACAAAATGGGCTAATAAATATTTACATTTCTGAACTGCAACATACATTGTTGATAAAAATATGACATCTTATTGTAATGCAAATTTACTTCTTATTGTACACAATCATGTCAACTTTTGACATTTGAAATCTGGGAGAGGTTTGTGGCAAGCAAAGCTAAATTGAGGTCCTATTAAAATCATATTCATATAAATAACATCATATAGCTGTGTTGCATATTGCTTATAAGAACACTTTTTATGTAATGTACTACTTAATAAGTTCCAATTTGAATGGAAAATTAAAGAATTATGCAGAATCCATAGAAATATTTTTGAGTGAAAATAAGGGAGATCCTCCCACAAATGGGGCATGTCATGGGTGTGTACACAACTTACTTAAATGTGAATCTCTGGCAGATGACAATGGCGTGGCCACACACGATCCTACATCTTGAAGCACACACTGGATCTACTCAAAGTAATCAACACACAAACTGAACATATCTAAAATGACTAATATATAATTCAACACTTCATTATACAGATCCTTCACATGTTGTTTGTACTTTTCATTATAATTACAACATCACCAACCACAGATTATGCCCACAGAAATTTAAAATGTCAGTCTTTAGATTTAAATCTCAGATGAAAACCAGCATATTGTTATTCTTTTGCCTTACATTTTTAATACATATTGATTTATTTTCATATTTTTAAAGTTTTTAATCTAAAGACATAGATTTTTTTATGTTACAGCATTACATTGTGAACTATTTTATTGTGAATTCACTTACTTTTACTAAATCTGTTACAACCGGTATATCAGAGTCTCTACAGTATTCAGCAGCCAAACTGTAAACCAAATAGCATAAATATTTCAGTCTTTATTAAAGTATGCTTGCCCTAGTTATTTACGAAAGGAAGCAAAAGGTAATTTTAACTACCAGCACAATTATAAAGGTTGTTAAGCTAGAATGAAGACCCAATTGTAACAAGAGTGTCTTGGACACAATATACGCCGCCACAAAATATAAAGATCAGGATAAAATGGCATAAATCTTACAAACATCAATGAACCATGAAATCGCTCCTTCATGCACATCGTACGTACTGACGGACGGACAGACAGACAGATTAGATGACACCAATATACAAGCACCTCCGGAGGCATATAAAAAATTGTAAAATAAAATTGACCAATTAAAACAACATGGCTGAATTATGCAAACATGTTTATTTCATCCATATAATATTAATTAAGTATCATATTTCTTTCTGCAATAAGCCTAAAAGTCAATACTTCCACTTCCAATGTATGGGGTTTATTCCTGGAATATGAATACGCATCTGTTGGCATTTTAGTTGAATCTGCCGCAGATGTGGGTAGGATTTTCACAAGACATGATCTTATTTCTTGATAAATAAAGCATAATTATCAGGTTCTGATGAAATACAATAGCCTGCATCTGCCTTCTCTGTTGAGGAGATTAAGAAGCAGAAAAACTGAACAAGAGGCCCATGGGCCTTAACGGTCATCTGACAAAAAGCAAGCCAAACCTAGAAAGTGGGTTGAGGTCATTCATTTGAACAAACTTGGTAGCCTCTCCTCCAAGCATCTTACAGGCCCAATATCAGCACTCATGGACTTTTGCTTGTTGAGAAGAAGTCGTTTGTATATTTTAACATATTTGACCCCTGTGACCTTGAAAGTGGGTTGAGGTCATTCATTTGAATAAACTTGGTAGCCTTTCCTCCCAGCATGCTACAGACCCAATATCGGCACTCATAGACTTTTGCTTATTGAGATGAAGTCCTTTGTATATTTTAACATATTTGACCCCTGTGACCTTGAAAGTGGGCCAAGGTCATTCATTTGAACAAACTTTGTAGGGCTCCATGCCAGCATGCTATGGGCCAAGTATTAGCCCCCTAGGCCTTCTAGTATTTGAGAAGAAGTTATTTAAAGATTTTGACATATTTGACCCCTGCGACCTTGAAAGTTGTTCAAGGTCATTCATTTAAATAAACTTGGTAGCCTTTCCTCCCAGCATGCTACAGACCCAATATCGGCACTCATAGACTTTTGCTTATTGAGATGAAGTCCTTTGTATATTTTAACATATTTGACCCCTGTGACCTTGAAAGTGGGCCAAGGTCATTCATTTGAACAAACTTTGTAGGGCTCCATGCCAGCATGCTATGGGCCAAGTATTAGCCCCCTAGGCCTTCTAGTATTTGAGAAGAAGTTATTTAAAGATTTTGACATATTTGACCCCTGTGACCTTGAAAGTTGTTCAAGGTCATTCATTTAAACAAACTTGATAGCCCTTCATCCCAGCATGCCACAGGCACAATATCAGCAATCTGAGCCTTTTGGTTATTGAGAAGAAGTTGTTTAAAGATTTTAACATATTTGACCCCTGTGACCTTTAAAGTGGGTCAAGGTCATTCATTTGAACAAACTTGGTAGTCCTTCATCCCAGCATGTCACAGGCCCAATATCTACACTCTGAGCCTTTTGGTTAATGAGAAGAAGTTGTTTAAAGATTTTAACATATTTGACCCCTGTGACCTTTAAAGTGGGTCAAGGTCATTCATTTGAACAAACTTGGTAGAGCTCCATGCCAGTATCCTCTGTGTCAAGTATTAGCCCCCTAGACCTTCTAGTATTTGAGAAGAAGTCGTTTGAATGAAAAGTTTACGGACGGCGCACGGCGGACGGCGGACGACGACGGACGAAGCATGATGACTATAGGTCATCGGACCCTTCGGGTCAGATGACCTAAAAATAGAGAATCTGTAACACAATTGTCCATATAAAGATCAGCAAGTTGCCACCACAAATTTACTAGATCATCCTCACAAGCATCGGTTTTTTCTTGAAAACAAAATCCTGATGATTTCTGTGAGAAGAATTCTCCTAACCGGACACAAATCAGCAGTCAAACAGTGAGGAAGTTCCCTTCAACAGAATTTTCCCAAGTGTTTTCTTATATATAAGTAAACCACAGATTTTATCCCTAGTTCATCAAAAACAAATAATAAACTAACAGCTACTCCACCAAAGTCAATATCTTAAAGATTAGAAATACTACAGACTTGAAATTATTTCAATCATGATTTTAACAGAAGCATCTCAGAACACTTGAACACTTGAGATTTTCATTTATTACATATCCGGTAGAACATGTGAGAATGTTGTTTCAGTGACTACATAGTCACATGAGATCAATATTTAAACAATGCATAGCCAAATCAACTACATTACATTGTTACCATCTTATGTACTTTTTGTTGTAACATTTTATCATCTTGTCACATTATTTTCAACCTTAAGTGTTCATAGGATTATAGTCCAGGGGAAAACATAGGTTGATTTCTAACCATCTCCTACACTACATTTTGTAAGTCAGTGCTTATACTGGTCAGTTCACTCATGTAGATGACTATGTAGTCATCGAAACATCACACCCAAATTTTCTACTTCTAGTCTCTTGACATTACCAGCCTGAAGAAAATGTTCTAAAATATCTGAGTGTGTGACTTTGTTCTTACCCAATAGCACAGGAAAGCTCATCAGTCGATCCTAAAGCTTCAAAAATGACATCATTTTTGGGTCTCCTTTCTCCTGTGTATGTTGATGATGTACCTTGATCATAAATTTGAAATAATTAGCATACTTTCATGGAAAGCATTGTACAAAATTTCAATCACATGCATGGAGCTTATGGTGTTTATTATATACTTTTTTTTGAAAACACATGTACTAATCTGTGACATTAATTGCGATTGAAGACCAGTTTTGTGTTTTTGAAAATGTGTTTCTTGTGTTGAGAAAAGATGGCAGATCATTTCATTTCTTTACAAGGAAAACAGATGTTTATGAAAACTTGTATTTGTATGTGTATTTTTCATTTATTGTTTGTGCGAAAAAGATAAATTTCTTTGAAAACATAATCACACTAATTTAAACATCTCAACCTGAAATTGTTTCAAACCACCTTTACATTTTCAAAAGGATACTTGTATTTTGGATGTGAACTGCTCATACCTGATAAGATACATATAGTTGAAGGCCTGAAGTTGAATTCATTACCTCTGAACCATAGATGAACACTTTAACCAATAGACTGGCTATCAGTTTAAACTTGATTCCAGCTAGTCCTGTTACACATGATTCAGACAAGTATGGCTTACATTTTATTATGTTATTTTCCCATGTGTATCAATGGTGTCGTTGAGGTCAATTATCAATATTGTTTGTACTTTACGGAAGGAAGTACTTGTCACACCAAGCGATCATTGTCCGTTTTACAAGATCAAGATATCATAAACAGAAGGGAAAATAGTTTGGAAATTAACCTACAATGTAAAACATGTCACCACAAAAAGTACTGCTGTCATAGCTTACCTTTATCACCAGTTTTTGTGTATATTTTTGGAAACTTCTTTCCTTCATTTTTTTGAGCTCTGCAAAATAATACAGCTTGTTTATTCTTGTTACTTGCAATTATTGTGTTTTCGTTGTGTATGTTTATGTATTTGATAAGTCTAGGTCAATGTTTACTATTTTTATTAGTCCTTTAATGTCGATAACATAAAAATTCTATCTGCCAACTGCCAGGGTCTTGGAGATTCATATTTGTATATGAGTAGGAAATGCATTTTATTGAAGTTTTTAGGCAACAATACAATAATGTAAAAGGGAAGTAACTCTTGCATGCAGCTAGGATGAAAAATATAACATATAAATAAATCTGTTGTAATTTTTTTAACAATGCATGACACTCTCTATTCTATTATAATTAATAGATACATATGGTACAATTCTTAGTCGAGTCGTGTGCCATTTTATCGAACGAAGTGACAATAATACTTAAGATAATTATTGTTATATACATGTAAGAGATATTTCCATTGTTTGCACACTTTCGTGTACAGTGTACATGTATTACATAATTATGTGTACACATGATGATATACCAATAGTAATATATAGTGAATATCACAATATTAGCAACATTAGATTATTCATGAATGTACAATTATAAATAGTTACACATGTGTGAATAATGTCTCATCTAGAGTTGATCGGAAATTGAAGTATCCCACCATCAAAAAAGAAATAATGACTGTCCTTATGTCTATTTTGTGGTGAGATACGAAAAGAGGGATGGTGATGTGTTTTATTTTTCATAGTTATGGATAAGATTGTCAATGGATATCAACAATTGCCGATGTGGCGTTTACGAGATCTGATTTTGTGGCTATTTTACTAAATTTTTCTTTTAAGCTCTCCACGTTACTATGCCAGATAACTTTTGATCTATACAGTTCATTTCAGAATCAAGATTGGTGATTGCTTTCATCATTCCTTCGCCAAGTTTTTTAAGTTGTGTATTATCAAATTTGAAGGCTGTGAGGGTAGGGTGATTGGTATTAACAACAGTTTTTGCTTTTTTGACCGTCTTTTTGGTGCTTTTCTTTGGAGCATCAGTATCACAAAAACTCATGTCAGAGCTTGAAGTAGATACAAGTTTATGTTTTTCTGCCATTTCCATTGGACTAATTGTCCACTCTAAATATCCCCGTCAGATATAGAGCTGAGCATATAGGTACATGTAACATATATTGTAGTGTACAGGTAACATATATTGTATACACACTTTTATGTATACGCATGATGTAAGGTGAGCACTGTTTGATACAACGGAATGTCAATTAAGTCAAAATAACTCGCATTTTAGTTGGGTTTCGAGCAAACAACAGCCTCTCCGGGAATCACACAACTGTTACATATAAGGTGTTGCAGGCTGGTGAAATAATTTTCACCAGAATTGTTGTAGAATCGAAGATTTTAAGGAGCGATACAAATTCCGTCCACCTGCCTTGACCGGTCACGTGATTCCAAATATTTCCCTGAACGTTCAGTTACCGTTTAAACATATCTTTGAGCATTATATTGTTCATACAAACTCTCATCACTAACAGGGAGAACATATTAGAAGAAATACTTTAACTAGAAAGAAATAAAGTTAAGAGAAAACTTAAAATAAAGACAAAACCCGAGGAACCTGACATTTGAAAATCTGTCTTACCCGCAAGCCAGGATTCAAACGTACCCCGATATAGTAAAAGACAAAAGACGTATACCCAGGAGAAACTTTCAACCAATCAAACACCTTCGTCAAAGTCTGTCAAATGTCTTGTGTCCAGTCAGTCAGTGAACACTACTCACGTACACAAGTACATACATATATGCTACACAAAGCGACGCACTCGCCAATACGTAAAAATGTTACGAGAGCAGATAAAACGTGACACTAACGATGTGTTTGCGATGATAGATATTACACACATGTACATAACCAGTACATATATATACTACAATACAAAATATAGATACTACAGGAATCACTACCAGTATACAAAATATGACCCTATTGCACACAAGAATGTATACCGACTCAAGTACCCCCTACTTCGAAAACTGCTCACGCGGAATAAACATACTACATGACCTGGACAGCTACGCTACGACGAATTACCGAAAAGACAGCCATTTACCGAACAGACAACAGAATTACCGAAAAGACACCGAAAAGACAGTTATTATCAATATTACACTAGTTTTTCGGGTGTTGAATGGAACTAAAACCATTCCAATCTCAATTCAAGTCATGATTTATTCAATCTTTGCAGTCTTTAATTACCTATTAGACGCTAGTTATTATTCCGTAATTCTCTGTTACCGCCATGGCTGACGAGCGTGATGGACCGCTCTAGGCTCCGCCTACATTTTGCTGATATTTTCATTCAACAAATCAGGGTTGATTCTTTTGTTTATTTACCGATGGAGTGATCATTTTATGAAAACTGCCATGCTTCATTGCAACTGTCAATGGCTTCTAATTGCCGTCATTTGTTTTCTGCTTGTTGAGAGTATTTTTTCCATTATGACACCTGTCAGTTTGTTATTTCATGACAATGGTTGCATTGTTTCTTGTGTATTTTCCAGATTGTTGCAATAACATTTCGTCTATGATCAAATTGATGTCAACGGATAGAGATGAATTTTTCATGATGCGAAAATATACACTATATTGGAAGCATTTCCGTCTATCTGTTTTTGCTCTTTTATGGTTTCATCCCAATTTTAATAAAATGAATGCCATACGAGAATGGGTTGTCAGTGTCCTTCAGTATGGCAAACTGTTATCCGTGCAAGAAATGCAAAAAAGAATGTGTCTCTGACACAATTCAATGCAGTAAATGTCTGCAGTGGATACATCAAGAATGTGTACCAATGTTACAGCTGAAATCGTGGTCAGAATGGTCTCTGAATTTCTTCTGCAAAGACTGCTGTTTCCATGGTCAAAATTTCGATGTGAAAAGTTCACTTAAAAGGTAAATATAAATTATTTCAAGGACTCATTTTGCAGCATTGGTTGATCTACGATTTATTTATCTAGATTTTTTTATTTTTGAAAACACAATGCTTAAAATGGTACAGACATGTGCCAAAAATGAGTATGATTTGGCCATTTTCAGTGTAATTTCCCATCTAATAAAATTGCTGCAATTTGATCAATATTATGAATACTCAATGTGTCATTTCTATTTCTCCATCAGCAGTGTTGATGCAATAACACTGAAATTTTATTGTAGAAATATATCTGCATCTCATTGTTTCCAAAATTTGCAATAATTTTAGTAAATTTCAGAATTTGTATTTTCTACAAATTATATACATTATATGCGCTACATAAAAAAAGTCTGTACATCTGTATTATACGTCCCTGGAATAAATATTATTACTATTATTATTTCTGAACATCAGATATCGCCATAACGTGGGCGGAGTTCTGAGCTGTCAATCACCTGCCTCCGCTATTGTGGTTACGGGGAATTCTGAAACGAAAACAGACTCTGGATTTATTAGGATTTATTAGGATATTTAATGGACGCAGGCACACAGTGCCTCTATATCCATATCAATAATAATCATACAATTAAATTATATAGTCACTTCCGATTAGTGAATTGCAACGAGCCAGATGGTTAAATTTCAGTTCGAGATTTTTCCAATGATTCTCCAAATCAATTTCAAAGTCTCTGATTGTTGATGATTGGATTACTTTTTCTGGTAGACTGTTTCATAGGTCTATAGTTCTTAGTCCAAATGAGTATTTCCGAATGTCCAGATTACATGATTTCTTTTTCAGTTTCTTTGAGTGGCCTCTTGTTTTAGAATTTTCGTCTCGATCAAACATGCCTTTGGTGACTTTTTCATCGTGAAATTTATCCATAATTTTGAAAACGTTTATCATATCTCCCCTCAATCTACTTCTGAGAAGTCATTAGGAATGGAAATATTCTTTATATTATGGCTGGAGTCAGGATTTTAGATGCTTTAGTCCCAGACAACAACCAAAAAGTATAATATCGAAAGGCCTACCGACTGTCTTTCCAAAGCCTTTTCACTTACGTCAGCCATTGCAGTCATGGGAAATTACGGAAAACTCCTAATATCCCTAAGTCATTAAAAGACTGCAAAGATTGAATAAATCATGACTTGAATTGAGATTGGAATGGTTTTAGTTCCATTCATCACCTGTAAAATTAGTGTAATATTTATAATAACTGTCTTTTCGGTAATTCTGTTGTCTTTTCGGTAAATGGCTGTCTTTTCGGTAATGACCTCGTCTGTAAACAACAATTACGTGCTCTGTGAATAGTGTAATCTCCAGGACACCGCATGCTCAAGAATAAACAAGACCCTATTTTTAATGATAAATATGGGTAAGTTTTTATAGCGCTAAGTATACTCACGCCAACAGTTTTGAATACGTAGCTAGGCCTCTTGACGCTTGCCGATAAACTGTCACAAAAAGTGACATGTTCGTTGCGAAGCCGAAAATCAGCGGAAATGCACTTTCGTACCTCCGATTTGAAGAGCTAGTTTCACTTTACGATCCACATGTAAAACATGGGGAGATTAACAGTGTCCGCTCCAGGCAAAGTGATTTTACATGGAGAACATGCAGTTGTTTACGGAAAGGTAAGTAACTGCTGATTTTGTTTTATAATAGTGTAAACGGTACATCTGTAGGTAGTTTGTTCATAACAATCGGATATTTAAATCATTATGATTGCCCATATCACTAGCTGGTTACTGCTGAATGACAATTTACTTGTGTTTTTTTTCGCCCAGAAAGCACTAGCAGCAAGTCTGGATCTCCGTACGTATCTGATCCTGACCCAAAGGGCAGACAACCTGATTGACCTTCATCTTCCTGACATTGAAATTAGGTTGTCTTTACAACGTGATATCTACTCAAAAGGAAATGATATAAAAAATGGTTAGTCTATTCTTTGTTTACATGTACATTCGGTTAGATAATCAATATTAAGAATATCTTTCATCTTTTTTCTTAAATGCTTTTCCTATTTCTCACTGTTTTTTTCTGTCCAGTAAATTATGTGCAATACGTATCTGACAAATTTGTTGGCATCTGTGTCTTCTTTTTTTTTAGTCAGCATTTCTGATATTAAATACACCATCTCTTGAAATCTTTGGTTACTGCTCCCTGGAGTTGATGTATGCTGTTAAGATTACTGAATTTTGTGAGGTGTGAAATGGTGTGGTAGTGATGTAGTGAATGAGAATTATGATTGTGATGATGATGAGGGTATAATGGTGGTGGTGGCGAAAAGGATCATGATAATAATGAAATGGTGATGATGATCTTGATTTGTAATGATGATGATGATCATGGTGTGATGATGATGATGATGATGATGATGATGATGATGGTTGTGGTGATGATGACAATGATCTTGATTTGAGATGATGAAGTTGGCGGTGGTAGTGGAGGTGATGTGATGATAATGATGATTGATACATAATGATGGTGTGATGAGGATGATTATAGTGATGATAAGTGTGATGATGATGATGATGATGATGATGATGATGATGATGATGATGATGATGATGATGATGATGATGATGATGATGATGATGATGATGGATGATTAGAGGTGATTGTGTGGTGATGATAATGATGATGTGTATTGTACATTAAAATAGAAATGAAAAGATAATTACAAAAAAAAAAAAAAAAAAAGAATTGTATAAAATTGTTTTTATTTAACGCATTGCTATTGATGTACTAGATCTGTCTTTCTGATATAAATTTGATGATGATGATGATGATGATGATGATGATGATGATGATGAAATTACACATACATTTACATGTACATGCACAGTACCCGAAGAGGTTATCAAAGAACTTAACTGCTGGCAGTTGATATCAAATCAACTCCTTCCAGATCAGCTAATTTGGTTAATTCATCTCAATTATTCTTGAAATCTTTTCTTTGCATCTTGTAGTTTGTTCAGTTTTGGTTTGGTCTGTTTGTGTGTTTTTGTTTTTGTTTGTTTTTTTTTCGGTTTTTTTTTTTTTTTTTTGTTTTTTTTTTTTTGCAATATTTTTTTTCTATAAATTTGTTGACATTGACTTGATCCCATCAATCCAGATCCATCTCAAATTGTAACATTTTTATCTCTGTTGATGAGAACAAATTAAAAATGGACTTACACATTGATCTACTGATTCTACATTGTAGGTACATGATATATTGTTTTTGTTTGCTAGTAGACATTACCAAGCCAATTCCTGCCTCAGATGAAATCATAGAAACACTGACAAAATCTTCCGGTTTAGATGCGGATGCCTCGAGGTCACAAGTTTTAGCTGTGGCATCCTTTCTGTATCTTTTTACAGAAATATCTAGAGCAAGCAAGTACGTAAAAAAAACATGTTGGTAGATTTCAAACATTTTATTTCCACATTTTCTTTATTGAAATATTGAAGTGCTATATACATTGTACTTAAGTAGAATTGAGTAAATCTTGAATTCAATAGTCAGGTGATATAGATTAGAAGTTCTTATAACACAACCAGTAAGAGATTAGAGTGTGACATTTCAATGACTACACAGTCACTTTCATCAGACAAATGACTAGTGTGGAGCGTTCTAGCACTACCATAGTGTACAAGATGGTACAGAATTGACCAGCTTGTTTGTCTACACTATAATCCTATGAACACTAAGGTTGAAAATAGTATGACGAGATGGTAAATAAATTATAGACAAAAAAATAAACTAGATGGTAAAAATGTACTGTAGTCATTTCAGCTACATTTTTTTAACATGTGGTAATAGATGTGCGAGAGTCTACGACCCCCCTCATCCATATTAAGTACATGTCTGCTAAAACTTTAAAGTCAAAACTTATTTTTGGGAGTCAAGAACATACTCTCAAAGGTCTAAGCAATGAACTTTGTTAATGTTTTTCAGACCCAATCAAAGCAATATAATAATTACTTGTATCATTTTTTCTGCAGGTGCCCACTTCCTGCCATAGATGTAAGAGTACAGTCAGAGCTTCCTATTGGAGCTGGACTGGGATCCTCAGCAAGTTATTCGGTTTGTTTAGCAGCTGGACTGTTACAACTAGGAAACCATATTCACCAATCAAAACCTAGTTCAAATACTGAAGGCTACCAGTTAGATCAGTCTTCCTGGTCACATGATGAAACTGAACTCATCAATAAATGGGCATTTTTAAGTGAAAAAATTATGCATGGAAACCCGTCAGGAGTGGACAACTCTGTCACAACCTTTGGTAAGTCTTATATTGATTTTTTCCTTCCATGATTTTATTGATGTCGTTTTTGGATTTGTTATTATCTATCTTTTCGCCTTGATTTCTTTTATTATTATTTACAGGAGGTGCTATAGAATTTAAGAAAGGAAAAATCGACAAATTATCCCAGTAAGTGTCATCTGGTGAATATAGTTGATTGTTTTTTCTGTGATTATTAGAAATGAGTTAATTGCTACCCTGTTTAATTAAGCATTTATGTACACTTGCCATTGGTAAGACTGAATCAACATTAAGTCACTTCTTACTTAGGGTAAAACAGAACCCTAAAACCACATTGACTTTAAGGATGTAATTCTATGAGAAGCTAAAAAAAAAAATCCAGCATTAAACGTTTTTCCTGATGATAATTTTTTGAAAATTTTACTTTAGAAAGAAGATGAAAAGCAAAAAATCTTCTTATTCTTAGTTCCTGTTACTTCCGTGGCAACCTTTTTTGAAATAATTTTTTTGTCTTTCTTTACTAGGTAAGGGTATGTTACATGGATATTAAGAAAATTAATGTAAACATGCTAGGAATTCATTTCATTTAACGAGCTTTAATTTGCCTAGCAACTGAAAAATGAAAATGTTCTAAAATGACTTAAATCTTTTATCTGACATTCTTGTAGTATTGAACTTTTTTAAGATTTTATGTTTGGATTGAGAAATTTTCTTTGATATTTTCCACGTTAAAAAAACGAGGGCGTGGGATCGTTGCACTTGAATATATGCAGTTTTCACCAAATATTTGTGTTTGATAATTCTTACAAAATTTAGTTGAAATCTACTAAAGGTTTCCTGAGTGATAGTGAAGTTTCTTAATTAGCGACCAGAGTATGCTGAAGTTGTTGACGTTAATAACTGAATCATGCTTTCAACTAAGCCACCCAAAAAAGTACTTCACAAGCGAAATTTCTTCAAACTGACATCAAAGTTGCCGTTGTTATGTACGACCATAGATACCAGGATGTAGAAGAATACCAAAGTATATGATATGATGTTGTAATTAATTTTATATTGAATTTTGTCTTACTTTTGGTCAAACCTCAAAGGAGTACATCCTTTAAGTAAGGAAAATATCTTATAGCTTGTTAGTGAAAATCCAAGTCTGTTTATACAGAAAAATAAGAAATTTTGCGTTCAATTGTTGTATTTGATGTAAAGTCAATTGAAAATATTTTCCCTTTTTTTACAGAATGCCAGAAACCAGAATTTTGTTGGTGAACACAAAAGTGCAGAGAAATACCAAAACATTAATGGCTCATGTCCGAACAAAGTATGAAAAGGTTAGAAGGCAATAAACATTGTGGTATTGCATTAATCACATGTTTCCTTCAGCATTTTTATTAAAGATTAAAAGTAATCTTAACTATAGTTCATATCACTTGCTTTAGGAGAAAAAAATATTCTGCTTAATGTTATCTTTTGTAGTTTGGGGCTGTCATCGGACCAGTAATGGAGGCCATAGATGCTGTAACAACAAGGAGCATCGACACATATTGTAATCTACTGAACAATGATCTTCCTTCATCTTCACTTTATAAGGAACTGGAGGTTGGTTGTTTAAGGTTTCTGTCAACAGAACCATATTATTATTATTATTATTATTATTATTATTGATGAGATGACAGTAATTTTGTGTGAATTCTTGTGTTTTTGGTAACGGTCGGTAACAGACATTAATGGCACATTATATGTGCCGCCGATCGTAATGTGTATTATAGTCTCATTAATGTGTATGTGTTTGTGTGGATTGTATAACTGAGGAGAGCAGCAAGCAGGATACCGCTAATTAACTGGTAAGTTGACGCAACATTTTTAATTTCATTAAAAAAAAAAATATATATATACATGTAGATACTGAAGTATAAATATAATATATATTTGGTAATGCATATTCTTGTCATTATAGATGTAGGGCCATGTATTGGAAACAAATGCCCTTTTTCCCTTCTCTCTCTCTCTCTTTATATATGCGCTGAAACAAAATACATATATATTTTTTTATGATTTTATATCAGTTCCGGATTGATGCTACCGGTTAGTTTATTAGGTACTCCATCTCCGGTCTCCGTCTTTTACTATTAGACTTCCAGTGTTTGGAAGGCTGTAGAGTTGGCTGATGTATACACGATTTCTTGCTATCTCTCCGTGCCTACAAGTACTTTCTTTTAAATTGTTTTTGTTATAAGATAATAGTACGCAGGTTAGTAGCAGTCAGAGACCTTAACCATATTTGCTATGATTTTATCCTTTCTCATATTCCTAATCCTTTCTCCCTTTTTCTTACAACACTATTCTTTCTTGTTCTCTCGATTTCTCTGGATGGAAGGCTGTTTGATAACTGATAATTATCTACCGTCGCTATGGCGGACACAGGTGTGACAGTAATCTCGGCCAATTGTCAAGGATTAGCAGACAGTTTTAAGCGTAAGGATGTTTTTGCATATCTTAGGGAAAAACGGTATAGTATTTATTGTTTACAAGATACACATTTTTCACGTGAAAATGAGGAATTAATTAGAAATGAATGGGGGTATGATTGTTTTTTTAACTCCTTTAGGTCAAATGCAAGGGGGGTTGCTGTTCTTCTGAATAACAATTTTGAGACAAAAGTTTTTAGAGAAAGGAAGGATTTAACAGGTAATTTTTTAGCTCTGGACTTGGAAATAGAAGGCTCTCGTGTAACCTTAATTAATATATATGGCCCGAACCAAGATATCCAGACTTTTATAACAAAATATCTGAAGCTATTGAAACTTTTAACAATAACAGGATTATAGTGTGTGGTGATTTTAATTTGGTTTTAAAGCCTGAGCTTGATTATGATAAAAATTACAAGAATATAAACAACCCTAGAGCTAGAAATAAAGTGCTGGAATTATTAGAGAATTTTAATTTAATTGATATTTTTAGAGAACAACATGATGAAACTAGGAGATATACATGGAGGAAAAGTAATCCAGTTAGACAAGCTCGTTTAGATTTTTTTCTGGTTTCAGAAAATTTACTCTCTAGTATCCATCTTTCAGGTGTAGACCCAGGATATCAAACAGACCATTCTTTTCCTAAAATCACACTGAAAATTAATGAATTTAAGAAAGGGAGGGGTTTATGGAAGTTTAATAACTCATTATTACAAGATATAGATTATTTGAATTGTATAAATAATTGTATAGATAATGTTAAGAAACAGTACTGTCTCCCAGTTTATAACCTACATAATGTTGACAATATACCTGAATATGATTTACAGTTTTCCATTAATGATCAGTTGTTTTTTGAAACTTTGTTAATGGAAATTAGAGGAACAACTATTTCCTACTCTTCTCATAAGAAAAAGCAGCAAGACCATAGAGAGAATATTCTTAAGAAGTCTATAGAAGAACTAGAGAAGTTAGAAGAAGTAGATTTAGTGGAATTAGAGGAAAAGAAAAAAGAATTAGAAACTATCAGATTACAAAAAATCAAGGGGAGTATGATTCGTTCTAGAGCTAGGTGGGTGGAGGAGGGGGAAAAGCCAACTAGCTACTTCTTTAATTTGGAGAACAGAAATTTCACATCCAAAATAATTCCAAAATTGCATAAAGATAATGGAGATATTCTAACTAAACAGGAAGATATCTTGGAGGAAGTAAGTAATTTTTATAGGAAATTATATGATAACCCAAGTTATTCATGTGAAATAAATTTAATTAATTTTCTTTGTGACTGTGAGGTACCAAAACTGACTAAACATGACTCTGCTAATTTAGAAGGAGAAATTACTTATGAGGAAGCTGGAAAAACTTTAAAACACATGAAGAATAATAAAAGTCCAGGTTCTGATGGGTTCACAACAGAATTTTTCAAATGTTTTTGGCGGCAGTTAGGGCAGTTTGTTGTTAGATCAATTAATTATGGTTATCGCAGGGGGGAATTATCTATTACACAACGGCAGGGAATCATCACATGTATACCAAAAGCAGATAAACCGAGACATTTTATTAAGAACTGGAGGCCCATATCATTGTTAAACATTATTTACAAAATTGCATCTGGTACCATAGCTTATAGGATTAAAACTGTTTTGGACAAGTTGATAGACAGGGATCAAACAGGTTTTCTCACAGGGAGGTACATAGGAGTAAACACAAGGTTAATATATGACATAATGCAGTATACTGAAGAAAATGATATTCCTGGGATGCTGATGATGCTGGATTTTGAAAAGGCTTTTGATTCTGTGTCTTGGTTGTTTATTGATAAAGTTCTACACTTCTTTGGATTTAGTGAGAGTATTTCAACTTGGGTTAAATCTTTACATAATAATTCTTATTCAGTTATTAATCAGGGTGGTAATTTGTCATCTTCTATTAATATTAAACGAGGCTGTAGGCAAGGGGACCCGATCGCCCCATATTTATTTATACTTTGTGTAGAAATCTTGGCCCTGAGATTGCGGAATAATGTTAATATAAAAGGTATGGATATTGATAATTGTCCAGTTTTAGTTTCCCAGTATGCAGATGATACCTCCCTCATTTTAGATGGTTCAGAACAATCTTTGACAAAAGCAATTAAGGAACTTGATGTGTATGCAAAAATTTCAGGGTTGAAAATTAATGTAGAGAAAACACAGGTAGTGTGGATAGGTAATAAAAAATATAGTGAAGATTCATTTTTACCAGATTTCAATTTACAGTGGGGAAAGAATAAATTTACACTTTTGGGAATTATTTTTAGTGTTAATCTTCACGAAATTCCAAAGCTGAATTTTGACAAAAAACTCATCAGGTTAAAATCATTGATTAAACAATGGAGCAGAAGGTCTTTAACTCCAATTGGTAGAATTCATGTCATCAAATCCTTGCTTATATCACAGTTTAATCACCTTTTTATTTCACTTCCAAATCCAAATGAAAACTTTATTAAAAAATTGAATTCCATTTTATTTCAATATTTATGGAATGGGGGGTCAGATAAAATTAAGCAAGATGTTGTTGTTCAACACCATGTCAATGGAGGTCTTAAGATGGTTAATATATATATATAATATAATATAATTCATGAGCTCTTTAAAATTAAGTTGGATAAGGAGGTTATTTCAAACCACTGAAAAATGGCAGGCTATTTTAAAAACCTATATTGATATTGATTTGCTGGCAAATTGCGGTAGTGAATATATACAGTTATGTATAAGCAAATGTAAAAATCAGTTCTGGAAAGATGTTTTAAATCATGGTATAAATTCATTGTGCAAAGAGATAATTTGGAAAATAATGAGTTAATCTCCAAAATACCACTCTGGTATAACAAAAAAATATTTATTGGGGGGAAACTTATTTTTAACAAGGATTGGTACAAGAAGGGTGTGATCAATATATGTGATGTTTTAAAAGAAGTTGCTCCAGTGTCTTTTTATACCTTAAATGAGTTTACACGTAAATATCACATTGCTACAAATTTTCTTCAGTACCACAGCTTCATATCTTCAATAAAAGATTTTATCTCTTCATATGATTTAACTTTATCGAACATAGCTTACCCATTCATTCCTGTAAACATACAACCCTTTTTTAACCTAGTTAGAGGTACAAAACTGTTTTATGATATCTTGATTAAGAATGATGTGGCACCATCTTGTAAATTGAAATGGAATCAAGAATTTGACGATATTAATGATGAAGAATGGGCCAAAATTTTCAAGATCCCCTTCCATACTACAAAAAATTCAAAACTTCAATGGTTCCAGTTCAGAGTAGTTCATCATATTCTGACAACAAATTCTTTTCTCTGTAGAATTGGTCTGGTTAGCTCACCTCTCTGTATTTTATGTAACTCTGAAAGAGAGACTATTACTCATATTTTATGGGAATGTAATGAAGTACAGAATTTACTACAAAGTTTTGAAATACTATTACAGGCATTACTTATTCCTTTTTCAATTAATAAAAAATCTTTCTTCTTTGGAATTTTTTCAAGTTCCCATATCAATAGGGTAGATAATGAAATTATAATTATCATGAAGCAGTACATATATAGAATGAGGTGTCTGCATAATTCTTTGCATATAAACTCATTGGTAAACTCCATTAAAGACAATTACAAAGTCCAAAAATATGTTGCTGTTAGTAAGGGCGATACTGTTAAGGAGAAGTTTGATGTAGAATGGAGTAAATGGAAAAGGTTAATTGACATGTAGTCGGATTCTGATAAATTCTACTTGTAAATTTTATCCTCAAATATATAATATATATTTATACGAAAGTAGGATGTTTCCAAACCCTTGACAAGGCCATTCTTATCCTCTCAGTCTTCCATCCATTTCTTTCATCTTTTTTCTTAAATGCTTTTCCTATTTCTCACTGTTTTTTTCTGTCCAGTAAATTATGTGCAATACATATCTGACAAATTTGTTGGCATCTGTGTCTTTTTTTTTTTTTTTTTAGTCAGCATTTCTGATATTAAATACACCATCTCTTGAAATCTTTGGTTACTGCTCCCTGGAGTTGATGTATGCTGTTAAGATTACTGAATTTTGTGAGGTGTGAAATGGTGTGGATAGTGATGTAGTGAATGAGAATTATGATTGTGATGATGATGAGGGTATAATGGTGGTGGTGGTGATAAGGATCATGATAATAATGAAATGGTGATGATGATCTTGATTTGTAATGATGATGATGATCATGGTGTGATGATGATGATGTGATGATGATGATGATGATGATGATGATGATGGTTGTGGTGATGATGACAATGATCTTGATTTGAGATGATGAAGTTGGCAGTGGTAGTGGAGGTGATGTGATGATAATGATGATTGATACATAATGATGGTGTGATGAGGATGATTATAGTTATGATAAGTGGTGTGATGAGGATGATGATGATGATGATGATGATGATGATGATGATGATGATTAGGATGGTGATTGTGCGGTGATGATGATAATGATGACGTGTATTGTACATTAAAATGGAAATAAAAAGATAATTACAAAAAAAAATCAAAAAAATAATAATTATTATTATTATTATACGATATAACAAATTGGAAACATGTCATAATATACTCTTTATCAATTAACAGTGTGCTTGGAAATGCATCCAAAAATGCGTACAAAAATTTTGTTCAGAAGTTCAAGGAAACTGTTTGGTAAAACATGTGTGAGTCTGTTTTGAATTTCAGTCAAGCTTTTTATAAGGAAACATTTGTTCCATGAATATTCATAACATAAGAGTTATTTAGAGTTCTTAGATACAAAATTCACAAAAAAAGAAATTGTCATATTCATGAAGAGTTGTTAAACTTTATAAAGTTCTCTCAGGAGTTAACAGTACAATTTAAATAAGGAATACAATGAATTTATTTACTAATATTTACCTTTGTACTGTAGTGCTTCTATCTAATCTTAAGAGGGTAATATCTCACTGGGTTAGAGTGTTGACTTATGTAATCTTTGGTGGAGATCCCAGGCGCATGGTTTGAATTTGTGTTTCTCAGGAATGTAAGAAATGAACTGGTTTGTGCTCACCTTATGTCCTGGAGCAAGACACTTCACCTTAATTGCTTTGGATGGCATAGAATGGGCCTCCCCTATGTTGTTCATTGAGTTAGTAACCAGCTACAATGATACCTCCCCACAAAATGAACCCAGCAAAACAAGGCAAATTCTTATCTTAAAGAAATATGTAAAAAAATTCTATCATGTTTCATTTTTACAAAATTGAGATGATGTGTAGAATTTTTTTGTTTGATATAGGAACTTATAGACATCAACCAGTGCCTGTTAAGAACACTAGGGGTTAGTCAACCTAAACTGGAGCAAGTATGTGAGATCACCGGAGCCAGTGGTCTCCATGCAAAATTGACGGGTGCTGGAGGTGGAGGATGTGCATTTTGTCTTCTTCGTCCAGGTAATGATTCAATACATAAACAAATTGATATTCAGATATTGATAATGCTTTGAAATGTTTTTAACTTTTGAAAAAGGTTGGGTTTCAAAATGGCATAAGAAGCAAATACGATGGCTTGTATGTGCTATTGGTAGCCTCTGTAGTCGTACGTTTACAAATAGGCATTTAAGTCCACTCATGTACATACGCAAGAATATAGCAACCTTTTCGCGCCAAAAATGTAAAAATGGATGATTTTTTTGGAAAATGCTACAATATCATTTCTGCATTTTTAGCTCACCTGGCCCAAAGGGCCAAGTGAGCTTATGCTATAGCGCAACGTCCGTCGTCTGTCTGTCGTCCATCGTCTGTCGTCCGTTCGTCCATCCGGCAACCGTCAACTTTTCATTTAAACAACTTCTTCAAAAATACCGGAAGCCTAGAATCATTATATTTGGTTGGAAGGTTCCTTTGATGAAGCCAAACAAAGTTTGCTAAATGAAATGACCTTGACCAATCTTCAAGGTCACAGGAGTCAAATGTGTTAAAACGTTAAAATAATTTCTTCTGAAATATCGGAAAGCCTAGAATCATTATATTTGGCCAGTATGTTCCTTTTATGAAGTCCAAAAAAGTAAAAGAATTGACCTTGACCCAAAGTCAAGTTCACAGGGGTCAAATGTGTTAAATGTGGAACATATGCACAGATATAGTAATGTTGGTCATAAAGATTCAGGTGAATGATACAGGCCCTCTGGGCCTCTTTTTTTAAGAAAACTAAAAATGAACATGCTGTTTATAACATATTAGATATCATGTATGTAAAGCAAAAAGTCACAGTTTTAAATACATTAGGAACTTGGGAACAGGAGATAAAAATGTGATGGGTTTTTAGGAGGAACATGCTCTTTTTACATTAAGCAAAATTTTCTTAAGGTCAAAACTCAACTTCCTTTTGAAGTCCATTCGTAATTATGTGCTAAAAATGTCTTTAAAACAGTATGAAATTAATTGCCCACAAATAGTTATTAGGAATTTTGTGCAAAGTAATTAAAATTGTTTGACATTATTATAATGTATTTTTACGGAAAAACGAGCAAATTGTTAATTGTTTAATTAGGCTAGTGCGTCAACAATTAATTTGGATTAAATGTAAAGGTAAGGGAATCAACTTTGTTGGCACAAAGCAATGTATAAGTTAGTGGTCATGATGGGTGAAAAATCTTTTGGCTGCCCTCTATGGGAAATAAGCATTGGTGGAAACCCCATCTTTCCTTTAATACAAATCCTCAATGTTGTTTGAATTTAATATCCTCTCTGCTGGTCATCTTTCATGCAGGGTTTAATTTGCACTTCATATTCAGGACAAGATTGTTGAGAAATGGGGAATGTTTGTTTTTTAATCAATTGCCTGTCTCAAAAAGGTTTAAGTTTTAAAAATGTTTCTATATATTCCCATGTTTATCCTGTTATCTGCTCAGGTGGTATCACATATACTTTGGTATCATCTTGATTTTACTGAACTGCAGTAAATGAAGGTGGGCTTAATACCAGACATGGTATTATTGTTTAAAAAGTACAGTACCTGTTACTGTTAGTACACCTTAATTCATCCTTGATACTGCAGGAGTTCTGTTCACTATTGCTAGACCCCATGAACTGTTATTACAAAACTGAAGATTCTATATGTGAGACATTTTGTTGATAAGATGTGACGACTAGTTATTTACAAATCTTGAAGCCGCAAAACGGTTTGCCATACTGGCTTTTAAGTTTGCTGTTGCTCCTTTGTAATCTTCAAAAGGAGCGTATCAGTTTGTGATTGGTCAGGGATTTTTTCTCTCGGAACCAGCTCTAGACTTATCAAATTACTTCATTTTGCTGGGAAATTTTCCAGTGGTTAAGAGAGCAAAAATGATGGTAACCCCTGGAGTATTGGGGATGTTTTCTAATGAAATTACATATTGTTGCATGCGGCAGATACACTGAAGATACATAATACTTGTTTGTATTACATTAACATTTCTTTCTTCATTTTCAGGAACTCCTAAGGCTGTTGTTAGGGAAGTGATGTCACAGCTTAAATCAGAAGGATTTGGATGTTGGGAAACAAATATCTGTGGACAAGGTGTCATTAGGCATTGGACTCATAGTGAAAATTATAACATTCCATCTGGATTTCTTCCGGAATAAACACTACCAAAGAATTTATTTTTTTTTGTAAGGAAAGATGTGAACTAGAAGTGGAAGGGGTGCATGATTTATAAAATTTATAGAACAAGATAAAAATGAATATTAATAGTAGTTGTATTACGATGTGTCTTACATTTTTATAAATATATTATAGTATTTACTTATATAGTAAAACATGTAAATCATGTTTCACTAAAATCGAAAAATTAATCAACTTTTTAAAAAATTTTAAACTTGACATTCACCATGTAGCATCTTATTATCAACTACATATTACTTCATCTGGATACATGTTTTGTCATTTCTGGTTGAATGAAATTAATAATAAAAGTGAGATTCAGTTGACTAAAGTGTCCCTGTAAATAATGAATAAAACAGGCTTTTAATGCAGACTGACAATTAATAGATTTTAAACATATTGTAGTTGACAACACATTTCTTATTTCATAATTTTATTTTTCAAGTCAGGCATATTGTCAAAAAATTAAAAAAACAAAAACAAAAAAAACATTTCCCTATTTTTCACCACACTTTAAATAAAGTAACCGATTACTTGGAAGTAACTTTCAGTTACGCGTCTAAAGTAACAAATTTAGCAATGATACAGTCATCCATCATGAAACCGTCTACACCTGTAAAACATTTTGTTTTTGTTTCTGGTGAAATTCTATAGATTGTAGATGTCGATTGTAGTTCCAAGCTTGGAAGTTGATTGATTTTAAAAACATCATTGAAGATGCATTTTAGTTTCTGTGATATGCCCCGTTGCTTCTAGTATTTTCAATCATTTATTTCACATCAATTTCGTTATTTTTTTTTCTTTAACTGATTTGCTTTTTCGTAGTATTTTCAATAATTAGTTTCTAGTTCCATCTTGAAATTTCTTTCTGATATGCTTATGTTTGTAGTATAAATAAAGTTTTCACAGTATCAATGTTAATATAGGATGCTGTTTATAGGACTAGTGTTAAATCATCTATGTACGTCCATATATAAATAGCAAAGTACTGGCAGCCCCTGTCCCTCCAACCAACTCTCGCGGGCTTTTGTTCTTCACATAGTCAGCTGCCATTTGCATATGAGCGTCATCATACGGAGCCATGCCAGCATAACAGAACGCCGCCCAACCCTGAAAACACGAAACAATTTCAGTGATTGGTTTGTGGTTACTATGCATATACATATAGTTTAATATTGCATTGAAAATGTTTTATCTTCAATTTCAGGATAATTGCTTGAACGACATGGGTTAAAATCGCAACAATGTTGTATCTATGATTGACCTTGTGATGCAGAACTTGATCAACAGAATTGAGATATGACAGAAATAACATACATGTAAATAAAAGATATGCATTTCACGCTTCAGTGACATGAAAATCTAAATATAATTTATCAGTTTTGTCTGTATCTGAAAGTTTGACCTGAACTGCTATTACTATGACTAAAAGTCAAGGGATGGGCTTATTAGAGGGCAAATGAACAGGTATTGTCTGTAATTCTTCTGGACTGCAATATACATGAAAGGACTTATTACTAGACACGGGCTTATTTCCAGATGTTATAAATACTACATTGCTTGGTTGACACCAATAAATGGCGGGTAAAATAGACATGCATCAAACATAAGAAAATCCCAAGAGCATCGAAGAGGAAAAATGTACAAAAACCAACATAAATTTTACTCCTGATTAGGTAAGTAGTGTTTATATTTGATATTTTGTTGAGCCGTCCTGCAATTCAAGTACAGTGTCGAAGTCGACGGGATCGTGGAAAACTTCAAGTTAGTCGAGTATTCGATTTATGCAAGTTCAAATGGTTGGTGTGATGTTTGACCGGGGCCGTCGAAATACGGGGTCTTCTAGTGATAAGAGTTCAAAATGTCAGTTTCAGCTGTACTATAGAAGAGAGTTCAGGCCTACTGTAAATGGTTCATTAGCTGAAAAGCGAGGATGACGGGCAATACCAAAATGTCATTAGGCCTGTCACAATAGCTAACAAACCAATATCCGATTTTAGCTTTTTACATCATAATGTGTTACAATTGCTGCAATTTTCTTGGCGTTTTAAAATAAAAATTGTACAAATTATAAGAGGTTTAGAATACATCTATCTATAAAGGTTGTACAAGAAAGCTAGTTGTAAAGATTTTAATACAATTTTGATACACAAGATATAGTACAGCCAAGCAATAAAGCTGCATCTCACAGCTGTTGAGTTCTTCCAGGACTCGTCAGTGATGCAAAGTGACTAAATTTTGAAAACTATGATCGAAAAGTCATAATTTAGACGGGGAGACGCACTTGCCCCATTACTTAATAAATTTCATAATTTTCATATATCGCATTTAACAAGAACGTCCAGTGCCATGTGTTGAGTTTAAAGCATGCCATTATTCGAAGAAATTAAAATGATGCATGCATGTTACGGCAAACAACGTGGACTAAAGAGAAGATTTGAAATAAAGGTTAGTTTGTGCATAGAATACAGCAATGAGAGATGATGCTTTGCTATATATTACGATTTGACGAATGGGGATATAAGTCAAATTCTGTTGCTAAGATTTTGTAGGGATATACATGTAGAATTGCTTTCAATATATTTATTTTGTGTTTAAGCCAGTAGTTATTAGCAACGGCTGCTTTTGAGGATATTGGCGCATCATCATTTAGCCGGTATCCAATACCAACATCGACAAGGATTGTTTGTGACAGATTTAAAGTCGTTAAAATGTGAAATTAATTTATCGTAAGTTCGATTTTTTTTCGACAAAATAAAAAAACAAGCAATAAAAACAGTAACTTTTACTGATACTGTGTTAATAGTAATTAAGATGCCCGTCGGAATCGTTATTGCAATAGAAATTGAAAGTTGAAAACAGAATAAATTGATTGAATTAAAAAGAATGATGTTTTAAAAATACAGAAAGAATCAATAAATCGTTTACAAACACGAAATAGCCTTAATTTGCTTTGTTTTCATTCTTGTATATATGATATTGACTAATTACTTGATGGAAATCAAGGTGTCAGATCTAATGTTAAAGGTCTGTGGATCGATATTTGTAATTTATACTGTTAGGTAAATGAAGTTTTTATTCCCGTTTTGACACCATCCAAACCGAAGAGAATGATTAGAGTTGATTGAGCATCGTAATTTAGTATTTTGTATAGAACATATTTCAGGTAGTTTTAGTCTAGAATTTCTCCAAACACCCACACTTCATCAACTTGATTATTTATTGTGCCGACTGATTCCGTAATATGTATTTACTTACATAGATATATACAGAGCATGTAAATATATGTAATTATAATTCATTTTCTCCGAATGCATACATAAAAAAATCAACGCATATATCATAGATCGAGTTAATTGACAAATCTAACGACATTTTCAAACACAAAATAATTCGATATCAAACTATTATTGCTGAAAATTATTCAACAAGACTTGACCAATCAATCTCCGTCCTCTCAGTGATTTAAAATGTCCTTACCGAGTTGAGTTTTTGCATATCCGCAGGATCAGTTAAAATATAGTCGGGTGCGGTCTCAGGATGGATGGCTTGAGTACACGAGTTTTTGATATGAGAAGCCCAATCCTGTGATGTAAACCAAAATCAATTATTTGATAAGATATAACCGTATTAATCAGCATAAAACAACGAGTGAAAACCTAGACACTAAATCGTAATTCAAATTTAGAATCACAATAACAACGGAAAATACCGGTATTAAGGTATAGCTATACAGGGAGGCCATGAAAAAGAACACGCAAAATAAGACCAACGTATTCATTACACTGTGCTCACGCTCTCTTGATGATAAATTTAATACCTGAATTAACATTTCTTCAGTGAAATGTAGGGAAGAATTCAAATAGAATAGCATTTTCAGTGTTTAAGCTTTTCTTTGAAACTTCATGATTTAAGTGTGTTTAAAGAAAACTGGATCGAGCATAGATTTCCTGTTTAAGCATAGAAATAGTTTCTGAACGACCCAGAAGGATAAATGGTTTATTGCTGACACTTGTCTTTGAAATCTTCCACGCATAACTTTAAAATGAGAGTCAGATCATGCAGCTTATTCTTCGGGACACCATGGGCATCTTCCCACACCCTTCGGAAGACATGGTCGTGCTATCAATTACTTTTTTTCAGGAACCTGCATGACCATCTTTCTTTTGTTCATATTTTGCCTATGTTTCATCGAATTTGAGTTAAAAGTCAGATTGTATTGACGTGGTAATCATTTGCTGTTGAAACGCAGACAACTATATAACAGAATGTTTTATGAATAGGCTAGTATTTGTTCTTCGAGAAATTTACATGGAATTTAAATATAGCATGCAGGGTCTAGAACAATCCAACTTCTATTGCTGTTAAGGTTGCAAGTTTCATATCATGTCTGCTGAGTCTGTGAACCTCGGGGCTTAGAGTCAATTATTTAGTCTCTGTTACAGTATTGATGTTTTGTAAACGAAGGTTTTGTAGACTGTTTATGGAATAATCATGTTTTAATACAGCCTGAAGTAAATATGTAAATATATATTTAGATAATTAAGACGTATTATGAAGGCGATTGTCAAAAGTTCCAAGTGAAATTTGATATACAGTTGAAAAAAAAAGAAATAAATACATGTCACAAGAATCATAATCTAAACTCTAGTTGAATAAAACTAGGGGAAAATATTGTTTAAAGAACGGTGGCTACTGAAAAAGTGCAAAAGGAATAAGACCAATTGTTCCGGAAGAGTAATCGTCTTCAGCCGCCATTTTAATAACATAGTCGAATGCACATCTTCCATCATACGTGGCATCATAAAAACAAATGACGTAAATGATAGGCAATATGACTCAATAATGAACGTATTGAAGAAACTCCTTCTTGGAACTCATACACACTGAATCCGTTAAACTTTGTAAGAAACAAAGCTGAATTGTATATAAGTTTAGTACACTGCACCCATTTTCCTAATATAATGTCCATAAACGAAAACATATTATTCTGTTTCTATGGGAACAAGCCAGCCAATAAAATAAGAAATTGCAAACCAACCCGATCCATCCAGTACTTTGAAGCGGCCGTAATTGGTATTATTTGTATGCCAATAAGACACGCATGTCTCATGGGGAAGACATTGGGTGCGCATGGCCAGTTTAGTGTGTAAACATAGAAGTTATCCTCAGCAATCTGTCCTACCGCTCCGTACCCTCTGATGGTTGGTGGAAAGTGAGCCTCGTTGTGATTACGCACTTGAAAGTATTCTTTCACGGATTCAATTTCCATGGCAAGTGTCACCTGTCCAGTCTTCTTCACTATGTCGTCATTGTAAGCTTCCCCCAAGGCTGCGAGACCATGATAACAGTTCAATGCCTGGAAAATTAAAAGATATTAATATCTTACTTTGAAACGTGTTTTAAGTGTAAGAATTCCTACGAATTTGAAAAAAACGACAAAGGGAAACTATAAAGTTCCCCTTATCTAAAATAGTCAAGAACCCTATATTTTAGACGTTTTTTTTTTTTACTTAAAATAACACTCAAAGATAATGTTATCAAACAGTTCCTTTGAAATTGATAACTATACCATCAGTTTATATTCTAAGACTTGTCGTCCCCAAGTATGTCATGTCTTAATCCTCAAAAACAGTTATTTCAAATTGATTGAAGATTGAGCTAGACGAACTTGTTTATGTTACCTTGCGTTTTTATGAGTTTTAATTCTGGGTTTGGTTCCAAGCATCACAGAAGAGTTTAGACACACACAACTGTTTGATACAGGTTCCTTTAGTATTTTAGTATGTCTATTTATGATTTAACTTTATTGACAGATGCTACATAAATGCATGTTTTTTCGACAATCAATTGAACATGTTAATGTGAAGCACTTGAAGGACACCCGATTTTTATACTGTCATTAATCACAATTATGACAATATGAATGTCCTTATTATTTCTTTAAGATTATTATTATAAGTAAACACAAGGATATCTTCTTTTTAAGTTTAAAATTTCAATCTTTCATGCGCCGATAATAATCCAATCACAGATTCTTTTTCCTACACTTGAACCCCTCCATGAATCCCCGAGAAGATATTTTATCAGTATAGCATGCTATGTAAACTATATACCTCCATATTGTATCTTTTTGTTTGAACTTACCTCTGAGGAAGACTCCTCTTGTCGTTGTCCTGGAACCACGCCAGTAGCCCAGGAGAATCCCATATAAGCGTCCTTATGACGGACTACAGGGAAATGCGTGTCCAAATAACTTGGGTTACCAACATCTCTTGCAAGAGCATACACACGCTCCTTGTGTTCTGAAATAAAGCCGCTTGTACCATGGTTAATGATTCTTTTTCAAGTTTTCTTGAAGTATCAATGACATATCTCACAATATGTTGATAATCAGTCGGGTCATCCGATGTTATAAATAATCGACCAAACATGGCGTGCAGATGTCTAATATATATACATTACCTTAATTGATTTTGAATCAAACAGAATAAAATTCCTGAAAATAATCCACAAAGATGAAACTAGTTTTCAGCTCGTCATGAACAGAAACAATGAAGTCTTCGTTTCATTTTCTTTTACAAGTATTGCTAACTTGAAGTCATTTGCGCTACCTCAAGTTGGGAAGTAAAATGACATGACTAAACAAACACATGTATTATATCATTAGGTTGATTCACATGACATACCATAGATAAAATGAGGGAAAATGAAACGTTAACACTGGAACAATTTAGCATGAAGGCTACCTAATGTGTTCAAATGAATGTGATAGCCTAACAGTCTTGCATATATGTTTATCTCGACTTAATCCGAGTTCAGTTATCAAGGAGATCATGATAAAATTTGGATGAAGGAAGGCCTTATCACTCTTGCTCAAATGTATGACCTTGGTTCAATGTCAAGCATGGAAGGGTTAAACGTATTGAAATATATTGTCTACATCTTATTTAAAATTCAACGCCAGATACCTCATGCTTTATTTAACTATATGCCCGTACTCACGCTGTCCCCAGTCTTGATGGTGTTTGACGTAATAGGCGATGGCATATAGAAGGTACCCTAAGTGGAAGTGGTGGTCGTTATAATAAGGGAAACCAAAGTCGTATCCGTAACCGACATCAGCGTTATTTGTGGCTCGTAGGAAAAGTCCGCCCCATACAGTGTCATAACGGAATTTCCACATGTCCTGCAGGGTATCTAAGGATAATATGAAATATACATGTATAAAGTAGCACATTATCCAATCAAAAAATGTGTATCATAACAGCCAAACAAAACCTGGCAAAAAAAAAATGACCTAGGTAATTATGTACTCTAACCATACATGTTTAAGCGGAAATCTTATTTTGGTGTTTTCTGCGTCGCAAAGACTGCACAGATATGTGTGCGCTAGTAGCATTTTCTGTATTTGTAGATACGTGAATTCATCAATACGTTAATTTGTCGATAATATTAATGCTCGAAAATTCTATTGCGTCAAATTTAAAGGTTAAACATTCTAGTTACTTAAAAAGACTATTTATAACAATTTCAATTATATATATGTGTGTGAGGGTGTGTGTGTGGAGGGTGAGGGTGTGTGTGTGTGTGTGTGTAATAAGTGTGTGATAAGTATAGATATGTTATGGGCCTAAATCTGCTTTTGTATATTTAAAATGCCACACACATTTCTTTTTTATATATCTATATGTATGACACAAAGACAGAAAACTGGCCGTATTACCTTGAACTCGAAGCCATTTTTCCAGACAATTCTTGATTTGAGTGTCTATATCTTCATAATGTTCAGTTCCAAATGCTCTAGAAATGCTAGCCAATCTGGCCGACATTGCTATAGCTTTCCCTAGGCCGTAACTGTCCCACTGACTGCATATAGTATTAATGTTATGGTCAGAAGCGTCACGTGCAATAGCTGTCAAAATTTCCTGTAAAAAGAAAATGATTCTTGAAACATGTTTCCCAATTTTATGAATAGCAGGTCGTATTCACACAAAATCGTGCTATTTGTAGTGGTTGCTGAAAATCGACTAGAACGAAATTGTTAATACATGAATGTACCGGTAGATAACACATTAAATTAGGATGTTTTATTATCGAAGTTAGGGCGAAATAGATATACATCTGAATGCAACATACTATGTTCACATATATTTTCACTATAAAATTCAAGATTGATCCACCTACAAATTCAACGGTAAAGTGAACAATTAACGGAATATGAAAATGTAGTCCCTCAAAATGATAAGTGCAAAATCAAAGTTAGAACTTATATTTCGCCGCCTTTGAAACTTAGATTTGAAAAACACAACACACATATACATGTTAGCTACATAAAGCACAAATATACCGGATTTTAAAATGACATTCCTCGCATATATGAATATCGACAAAACTCCATACTCGTCGAAAGTACGTCGTCAATTTGCACATTAACCACAAAAAGATTTAACTGGTTTTAATGTAAAGTTGCTATTATCGCAATAAAAATATATTATGAAATAATTGAAAGATTTGGGACAAAAATCATTTGCATTTGATATATGATTTTATTCCCAAAGGCAAGAATCTGCATACCCGTATATCTGCATAGTAAATTAGTCTCATTATTTCAAAACGATGATGTTTTTACCCTTTAGTTATCGAGATCTTACTTACGCTGAGTTGTTTGTTATTTTGTTTGATATTGGTGACCGCAGCTTCATCAGGTTCCATTGACGCACGTGGCAGGTTCATCTCTAGTAGCCACTCTGATCCCTCGTACCCTTTGAATCCGTAGACCGTTTCTTTTATGTTATCGCTGCTGTGTGACAATTGAAGAACCTTGATTAAAACAATTGATGTATGTCAATGATAATCTACTTTTTTGATTTTCTAAACAGAGAAATTTTGATTTAGGTTAATTGCTAGAAAAAACAAAATTTAAACGTATTTATTCATAAAAAAAAAAATTTCCTATGATTATAGCGACACTAGTCAGGCCCTTTCTTTAAAAAAAAACCAAAAACAGAAATGAAAACAGAAAAAAAAATCAAAACAAAAACAAAGAAAACAATTTGTGTATAGTACATACATGATGAGGCATTGTAACCATGAGCAGTTGCCCCGACGAAGACGCAGCAAATTGATTGTTGACTCTCCAATCGAAATTTACATAAGCTTTATTCGTCGAATCATAAGCACAATATGATGCGATAGGCTTATAGGAGTATAAACCAAGATTATTGTCGAGGAAATTATCATTAGAGTGGTCTCCTCTGGGTCCAGCTCCTAGATAAGCCAATTGCATAAGACCAGAATAGGTTCCGCCGGATTGTGGAAAGAACGTGATTGAATCCTCCCCGTTGTTTATGTTCATGGTGACAGCTTTACTGAAATATAGCATGAATTTTCTTGTTTGGTTGGGGAGTTCGTCGCCTGGTTCATTGAGCTCCATGATAAATTTTGTTCCTGGTTGAATACTGACATGACTGTTTGTGCCATGGGAGTTTGTTGGCTTTTGTGTGGCATGTGTCGGTTTTGCAGTGACGGGAAGAGGTTGAGTTGGTGCGTTTGTGACTGGTGGGGAGAAGGTTGATGGTTTAGTAACTGGGGCATGTGTTGGTGGGTTGGTCACTGGTCCAGCTGCAAATATATTTTGATAAATTAATCCAAACCAGCGAACGAAGTAATTGCATGAAAGATTCAAGTCCAGTATTTAGATTTTACTTGATGCCTGCTAGTAAACACTATAGGATGTTAGTGTCAAACGTTGGACTGGGCAAGACTGGACAGGATATACCAATACTATTGTAGTCTTCAAAACATCAACTTTGTAATAACAACAAATCAGGATTCAATGTTCTATCAGGCCGATCTGGGGTGTCTTTTGGAAATACCGCTAATTATAAGGCGCAGACCAGAGGAGGAAAGACTGGTTCTCTATATTGTTGTAGGAGGTCTTTGCTTCAGTAGAGTGTGAGCGGAATCAAACGGTCTTTTTTTCTGAATTGCGTCCACGAACTGGTTAAGTAATTTCTTAGGTCTCCACTTTCAATATTTCCGGTACAGGATAACCATAAAAAAAGCCATATATTGCTATTCAATTAACTTTTTGTAAGATAAAGAAAATGCATTAAAAACTTATGAATGATAGATTTACCTCCCTGGATGTAGGTAAGACTATTAATACTTGGCCCCCCGCAAGTTAATTCATATGGTTCCTCCATCCAATGTAGATACGGTAATACGGTCCGTCCTATCACGTTCACAGCCATTCTGTAACATAAAACAAACAGGGCTTCAATGTTCCAGACGATAAACAAAAAGTACAAATCGATGATATCTTTCAGTGCCAAGTAATGTAGACAGGACAAACAAGTAAATATCACCTTTTAAATGAATATCACCTTTTTTGGTTTGTTCAAGACTATCTTTGATTTGGATACTTTTTACCAAGAAATTGATTAATCTGTTTGCTATATAGGTGATACATACCATAACTGAAATAACAAAGAAATTAACAGAATACTATTTCAAATTCGAACTAGGGCAAAGTTTGAACGAAAGAAAGATTTACTCCCAAAAAAGTACCAGGGGAACATGACCAGGTGTTCCTGAAGCGTGCTTCATCGACGACGCCCGCCATGTCAATCCAAGTAAGTAATATTAATTTTTAGCAACTTTGTTACATCATAACATACTTGAGTCGATTTCCAGACATGTGTGTCCTAATAAAGACATATTGTCCTTTCCTAGTACATTTGTCGTATGTACATGTATGCATAGTTACACAATGGGAAGGACATCCTATCCATTCGTCGTAGTTCTCCAGAGCCCACTGGACCTATAATGCAAGATTATCCTTATAAGAATAATAACTATTGCTGTCCACGAGCAAAACGTTTATATAAATAGATTGAAATCACGGCTGTGGTTTTGCTACCAAATAATTTCCGTAATTTTCGAAGTTGCCATATTTCAGTATTTTTTTTTTATCTTCAGTAATTCTTTCGCATTTTATTTTTTGATATTCTCTTTTATTAAAATAAGATATTATATTTTCTAATTTAGGTTTCGTTTTATACATTCAAAGGCTTATTCCCAACATCCCCTTTTCGGTGTATTCTCTTCCTTATAAAACAATAACGTTATATTATCGTCTTACACGGGCTATTCCAGGTAAATCGTGATGGCCGAGATCTACCCGTATTTCTACATCGTGGTTTTGGTTGCATGATGCAGTTAGCTGTATTTCGGATATGGCTGCTCTCTTGTTTTGGTGTGCATCGTCATTGGTTACATTTGTAGTTTCCCGTCGTCCCGTACACGTGACCTCTTCGGGATGGTCAACCCAATTCCATGGCAAAATATAATGACCAATGTAGTTTATGGCGAATGCCATTCTGCCTATAAAATATAGTTTAGGAAATAAAATGAGATATTGATGGTTTTAACTTTCATAACACCTTGTAAGGTATAGATAACATGCTATCTACACACGACATTCCTATTATCATATTTGAGATTATTTATCATAATTATGTTCACGTGTTTGTATTTTCTTTTTTTTTAACCCATAAATTCTTATTTTACGGTTTTTTTCAAACTGCGAAATTTTGCCCGGACCTTGCTGATTTTAATCATATGGCTTCGTTTATTAAAGCGTTTACGCTTTTGTTCATGGGAACTCAACGACAGCATAGAATCACTGAGCTTGCATCTTAGCATAGTATATATGCTTTAGGAAATAGGCCTCCGTCACATAGCTGTAACGGTCATAACTTGCATCGTCCCTAATATGTTACGAAGATAATGAACGGAAAATTACAACCATTTACCTGGTACACAGGTTCAGTGTAATTTTATCATAATTCCCTTGCAATAAACATATCTCAATTTTGTCTTTCACTGAATACTGCAAATGTATACATTTTAGCGGTTATATGATTTTAACGCCTTCCGGGTTGAAAGTATTGAGCTATAATATAATTGCGCTAATGACAGTTCCTGTATGTGTCTGTATTACAATAATTGTGAATGCTCGAATTCATCATTGCCCTAATTTGCCAAACAGTATCAATGTGTTTAAATTTTATTGTGCCAAATTTAGCGCGTTTACAGTGCTTTTAAATGTGATATTACCCGAAGCATTAGGAACGTCAACTTCTAGGTGACGAAAGTCGCTACTGAGGCGACATTTAGTGGCATCACAATTCCGCATGGTATGGACATGTCCCCATTGATCCCTGCTGCCTGCCGCCCATTGAATCTTATTCATATCTGTAATTGGTTTAGAGTTGTCCAGCATAATGCGCAATGTTCCGCCACTGCAGCTTGCGGAGATATGACCACTTCCAGCATCTGCCACTAGTGTAACATAATTTTTTTTTCAAAGGGTTTGGTATATGTCTACAATTTCATATGTCATGGTTTATTTTTATTACAAAAACAAACTAAAGCAACCAAACAAACAAAGGTCAAATGAAATAGATCATAATAAAAACAAAATTATGATGTAAATAAAACTGCATCAGTTAAAGTCAAATGAAACCAGTCCGATATTGATTCAACTACATGTATATAGTTCTTTTGTTTTCAAGAGACACGACATTTAAGTTTTAATATCTGAAACATTACTTACTTGAATTTTCTTTCGGGCAGTTAAAATGCATCGATTGCCCATTGATGCTACTCAGACAGAACGGTTTGATGATTGGGTTGGCGTTGTTGAAAAGATGAGTAAGAAGAGCTGCACCTCGAACAATGGGTACCTGAAGAGAAAAAATCACCAAAACTGCATCTTTACGTCAATTAGGACACGTATGATTGAGGTAGAGTATATTTTGAAGTATTTTGTACTCTATATTATTGAATGGCAGAGTTGCTGTTATCCTTTTTAATTAATATCTCTTCTAAATCAGCAAATGATGTGAGAAAAATCCCCTCCCCTCTCTTCTATATTATTAGTTTAAACATATTTTATTGACGTTAAGCAAAAGGATTGGGCACAAGTTACAATAAAACAATTGCATATATATATTTCAAAATGGCTCAAAATAATTATATACATATCATTATTAGATTGATATTTACAACTTCATTGCACATCTCAAACAACCAACGATTTAATTGTTATTTATTTTTTCCTTTCAAAGCAAATAGAAAAATACCATGTGATTTCCCTTCAATAAAAGACAAAAATAACATTCAATCCAAGAACTTTGCAGCTGATAGCAGGGATCTTACCACTGTGCTACCGTTACGTTATTGATTCTTGACCCATAAAATGCAGAGATTAAAATGTCAATGTTTCTTTCAAAAAAGTATTATTATTATAAAGTATTATTTATGCTTATAGAATTTAAAATGGCAGTTTAACACAAGGGGAAATAATCCAGTGTATTTCAATCACTTTAGATTTGCCATAGTCGCCTCTTGGCCATCATATTTAAGCTCCTTAACATTACTGACGAGAGGAATAAGGCCGAAACTGTTGTAAGGTGCAGCTTAATTCACTATTTAGCTCTACTGTATGTAGCCTTTCCTT